GCCCCGGCCCCGGCCCCAGGCCCAGTCCGCCCCCCCCCTCCGGCCTGGCCGCACGGCTGCTGTTCTGGTGCCTGCCTTCGCTATTCCAAGCCAGGCAGGCTCGGCAGGGCTGTCATGCGGGGAAACCCTCTAGGGAGTTCGGGGTTGTTTTTAGTTGGTCGTGGGGCATGAACTCTGGGCCTGGGCGCTGTCCCTTAGCTCTTTTGCTCAAGGCGAGCGCTCTACGACTTGAGTCTCAGCCTCACCTGCCCCGCTGGCTTCAAATCAGCATGCTGACAGGTGTGAGCTGCGGGTGCCTGGCTTCGCTGTTAACCTTTTCAATGTTTATTGCCAGTCCTAAGGCTTGAGCTCAGGGCATGGGCACTGAGCTGCTTTTGCTCAAAGCTAGCAGCTAGCACTCTACCACTTGGGCCATGGCACCACTTCAGGCTTTTTCTGTGTATGTGGTGCTGAGGAATCGAACCCAGGGCTTCATGCATGCCAGACAAGCACTCTACCACTGAGCCACCTTGCCAGCCCCATCCTTGTGAAGTTTTTGATGACAACTTTCGCTTGTACTCTCAAAACCAGGTGGTTTGGGAGCTTGGAAACCAGAAGAGACCAATGGTGTACAGCATGGCGGCTCACGCCTGTAATCCATCTTAGTCACTCGAGGATGAATGTGAGGATCTCCAACTGACTAGCAAAAATGCTCTTAGTTTGGCTCCAACAGCAGAACAGCAGCTGAGAGCAAGCAAGCGGAATGCCAGGCCCGAGTTCGTGGCCCAGGAAGGGGAAAGACTGGACTAGAGGCCGAGGACAAGGCCGCCGTGAATGCACCCTGCAGGTGCAGGCCGGCTGCGGGCAGAGGAAATGTGTTACGGTCTGAGGGGCTGGGGGGCACCCGGGGAAGGAGGCAGCGACAGAGCATGGGGGGCGGGCACACAGGCCACAGGGACAGAAGGAAGCCAGCGTGGCAGGCAGGAGGGACCGAGACAAGTACTGCTGCATACAGGACATATGTGGGGTTAATATTGCCCCCCAAGTTTTGGAACCTCAGGTTCAAACCCCGTTTTGGAAATGGGGTTTTTTGCTAGAGAGCAGGGCCCCGCGCGTCGTCGGGTGCCCAGAGCTGGGGAGAGCATGGCTGCCCTGGGGAAGCCTCTGGGGGACACAGCCCTGCCACGCCTTGCCCCACTGGTGCTGCACTAAGTGGCTGGGGGGGAGGGGAGGAGTCCACCCGGAGCCACGGGGAACATCGGAGGCCACACAATTGGCCAGGCGCAGCCACACCGCCACGCAGTGACGTGAGCGAGGACACGCCCACCTGCACCTCAGCCCTGGATTCCACGAACGGGGTTGCTTCACACGCTGCGGGGACCCCCCCACCCCATGCATAAAGTGTAACCTAAATTTAAAACGTGGACGTTGGAACAGGGGAACCCTGCGGGTCCGGGCGGGGCAGTAGTGGTTTGTTGCTATGAGACCAAAGCACAAGCAATTGACCAAAACCAGTAAAAAGAGAAAAACCTTTCAAGAACACCATGAGGGGCTGGGAAGGTGGCTCAGTGGTAGAGCGCTCGCCTTGCATGCATGAGGCCCTGGGTTCGATTCCTCAGCACCAAATAAGCAGAAAAAAGCTGGAAGTGGCGCTGTAGCTCAAGTAGTAGAACGCTCACCTTGAGCTGAAGAGCTGAGGGACAGCGCCCAGGCCCAGAGTTCAAGGCCCACAACCCACAGAAACACCACGAGAAAGCGCTTACAGTGGTGCAAGTAGATTCAAGCAGCGGGCACGGGCGGGCGCCTCGCAGCCGTAGCCACTGTCACCGGCAGGGTCTGAGGACAGCCCAGACAAGCGGCTGACACCCCGGATTCCAGGAGCCATGGTGCACGGGCTAAATACAAAGCCAGGAGCTGGAACTCCAGGACCGCCTGCCCTATACTGTGAAAGGAAGTTTTTCACAGTAAGCGGCGTGGGGTGGCACGCGGGGGGCGTGGCCAGTGCAGGGCGCAGGGCGGAGGGCGGGTGTGAGGCAGGTGGCAGCGCATGAGCCACGCCACCTCTGAACTGAGCAAAGCCAGCGGGGGCGGCGCGGGGCGCGGCTCTGCAGCCGCAGTGCTGCCCGCAAGTGTTCAGAGCTCAGGTCGCAAATTCCAGAACCACCATAAATAGAGCCGTGGCTCAGGTGCTGGAGCGCCCTCCTTGGCTGAGAAAGCAAAGCTCCAGGATCAGCAAGCGCAGGAATAAAAAGCCAACACAGGGCTGGGAAGGTGGCTCGTGGAGCAGTGCTCGCCCCCCATGCATGAGGCCCTGGGTTCAGTTCCTCAGCACCACATAAGCAGAAAAAACTGGGAGGGGCGCTGTGGCTCAAGGGGTATAGAGCACTGCGCTGGCCTTGAGCTGAAGAGCTGAGAGACAGCGCCCAGGCCCAGAGTTCAAGCCCCACAACTGACAAAAAAAAAAAAAAAACCCAAAACCTCAAATCCCCTTGGCACTGGGTGTTTCACAACCGCAATCCCAGCTGCGCGGGGGCCGGTTAGGACTAAACCAACCAGAGGGGCGCACAGCCCGCGGGGATGGCAGGTACACCTGCGCGCGCAGGGACTGCGGGAGGGGCCAGCGTGTGATCTTCAGGAGCCACAGACGGCAGGAGCACCTGTTCTAGCACAGACACGCTCGCGGCTACGGGATCAAGATGGGGCCCAACATAGCCAGCAAGTCCCGGAACCCCGCTGCAGGGAGCTGACCCAGGTCAGGAACGGCCGAGCCGCCGGGCTCCTGCTGTGTGTGGCACGCAGGCGACAGTGACAGAAGCAGGGCTGCACTGAGCGCGCCGCGAACACGGGGCAGCAGCCACGCGGGGCCTGCGCCCCAGAGCGCCCCAGCCTCCCATCCCCTGTGTGCACACATGCGTGCGTGTTCCCCCCCAGCCTTGCCGGGCGGGGAGTCTGGTCCCCGGCAAGTTGGGACCCCTCCATGTGGCCCTTGTTGAGAGCCCGTTAGTGGCCGCGGGGCTGCCCGCGCGCTCCCGCCTCACGCCCGCGCGGCGCTGCCAGGCGTCTACCTTGAGCCACTGCTTCTCGGTGAGCGAGTCGCTGTAGTCCACCTCCTTGCGGTGGCGCGAGCCGCGGCCGAACATCTTCTCCTCCTCCTCCTCGCACGTCAGCCGCTCCACCTCCGCGTCGTCCTTGATGATCCACGACGGGAGCTCGTCCTCCTCCATCAGCCGCGGCTTGCGCTTGGGGTTGCGGGCCTCCTCCCGCCGCCGGTCCAGATCCATGCGCTACAACACACGTCAGCGTGAACCCCCAGTCTTGGTCGGGGAGCCCGGACCTGACCTGACCTGACCTGGCCGCTGTCTATATATGACCTGGTGAAGAGCACCAAGGCACAGGCCTACCAGGTGCTAAAGCACACACCTGTAATCCCAGCTACTTGGGAGGCTGAGATCTGAGGATCGGAATTAGAAGCTGCTGGGCCAGGCCAAAACACCTGTGGGACTTCCGTCCCAATGAAGCCAGCAAAAAACTCAAAGTGGAGCTGGAGCTTGAGGGGGAGAGCGCCCGCTTGGAGTGGAAAAGCTCAGGGACAGTCCAAGATCCAGAGCTCAAGTCCCAGCATGGCACAAAACCAAAAGCAGGGCACAGGCCTGGCAGGGCGGAAAGGAGATCGATCGCTGCAGCTCCCGGCCACCAGTCAGGGCCAGGGCCAGGTGACGGGCCTCGCTGCCCCTGGGGACGGCCGCACCCAGGGTGGTCCCGGCTCTGAGCCTGTAGGGAGGGCGGCACCACGCACAAACCCTGACCCACGTGGATTTGGGTGGCGGCGGGCGGCTCCGCCCCCTGGTGACGCTGATCGCTGGGCCCGAGGCGCTCACCATGAACAGGTCGAACTCCTCTTCGTGCCGGGCGATCATCTGGTTGACGGTCTCGTCGTCGGGCACCTCGTCTTCCTCCTGCGGGAGGGCAAGGGCGGCGTTAGTGCGGCTGTGGCGGGCGGGCTGGGCCGGCGGCCGGGCTCGGAGGCGAGCGGCGGCGACCGTGGGAAAGGAGCCGGCGCCCGGGGCCGGGCCGCGAGAGGCACACACACGCACACGCACACGCACGGCACGCTCCGTGGGGTCGGGCCCTGCTGGCCGTCTCGGCGAGGAGCCGAGGATTGAGCGGGCGTGGAGACTGAACTACCCCTCTCACCTTTAGCGGCGGCTCCTCCATGTCGGGGGGGACGCCCGCTGGCGGAGGGGCAGAGTGGGCGAAGCTGGCACTGCCGCTGCCCGCGCCGCAGTGTCTGCTCTGTGGATAAATACAGGACTTCAGTCTCCAGGGCGGTCAATCCGGCGTGGTCACCAGCAGTCGCGATTGAAAAAAATAAAAAACCCCCACTGCCAAGGGAAAGCAATTCTCATCCTCTTTCCGTTCAGCCCACACTCCCTTTCCGCCAAAGGGATGCAAAAAAAGAAAGAAAAAGAGAAAAAAAGAGGACAAAAATACAAATAAAAAACCACAAAAAAAGTGCAAAAAAAGTACACAAGCAAAAATGAAAGCTGCTCATGCGTCCACCACTCACGCAGGGCCGGGGCGGGCGGGGCCGGGCGGGGCGGGGGCCGGCGCGGCGCTCACCTCGTCCTGCTCCTCGTGCTCCAGGATGGCCTGCAGGAAGGCGCGCCGCTCGTGGCTCGACGACTTCTGGTCGAACATGCCCGCCTGGATCACCTTCTGGTCCACGTTGAGCTTGTACTTGGCGGCCGCCAGGATCTTCTCCTCCACGCTGTTGACGGTGCACAGGCGCAGCACACGCACCTCGTTCTGCTGCCCGATGCGGTGGGCGCGGTCCTGCGCTTGCAGGTCCTGGGGAGTGGGGGGGCTGGTCAGTGCCGGGGACCCCCCTTTCCCCACCTCGCGTGACCCAGTTTTCTGGCAGCTAGAGGCCAGCTGTGATCAACGCACTGAGGGCTGCAGTATAGCGGGGTCCATCGGGGCAGCACTGTGATGACGCCTGGTTTGCCTGTGGGCTCTGCACTCCTGGGTTGTGTGGTGCAGGCCTGGAAATGCCGTCTCTGAGCCTCCAAAGGCACAACGCCTGGACAGAGAGCGGGACACACAGCCTGGCCCCTGTGCCAATGTTTTGGAGCCGGGCAGGGAGATACCCTGAAGTGGTGTGTCTGGCCTAGGAGCCGTGCTGGCCAACGGGGCACCGCGGGTGCTCCACCAAAGCCTTGCTCTTAGAGGCGAGGACAGGGTGCCGCTCAGCACGCTTCCGCTCGAGGCTGGCCCCAGCGTGAGCCCGGCCCGCAGCGCCCGCGTGCGAGGCGGCCAGGGAAGGGACCGCAGACCGACGGCATGGATTGGGAGTTTACAGTGGCCTGTGGGCGAGGGGAAGGACACGGGTGAGCACTGTGAGTGGGAGCAGACCCGCTGGGCTTTTAGAAGCAACTAGAATGGAGGGGCACACCCCCGTGGGCCGGAGGCCTACGCCTCAGGGCTGACCCGGCCGAGTGTCCCGCACAGGAGCTGCCGGGGAGGCGGGGCTCTCAAGAGGCTGTGCTGGCTGGACAGCGCAGAGCGCAGAGGGCCGGCGCTCGGGCTGCGGGGACCTGGCCTGCAGCGCCCCCGCCTGGGGGGCGGGCAGCTGGGACAGGACCTGTGGGGACTCTGGAACGGTGGCCGGGGCGGGCTATTGCACATTAGGGGTGGGAGCTGGAACTCGCCACCCCAGATCCAAGACAGCCCTGCGCAAGCACGGGGGCCACGAAAGGAGTTGCAGGCAAAGTGGCAATGCCGTTTGCATGGAAAAGGGAAACTAAACACAAACACACCCACACTTTCTCAGTGCTAGTGTCAGTCAGGGCTGCAACTCCAGGCCTCGTATTCTCTCTACTTACTTTGCTCTAACATTTCTTTTCTGTTGGTCCTGGGGCTTGAACTCAGGTCCGGGGTGCTCTCCCTGAGCCTCTGTGTGCTCAAGGCTAGTGCTTTACCACTTGAGCCAAGCACTGCTTCTGGGTTTTTCTGAGTGGTTTACTGAAGATAAGTCTTATGGACTTTCCTGCCTGGGCTCGCTTCAAACCGTGATCCTCAGATCTCAGCCTCCTGAGTAGCTGGGATTACCGGTGTCAGCCACCAGGGCCTGGCTTGATCCACCACTTGAAGCAGCCTCCACAGCCCAATCTTGCTGCTTAACTTTAGATAGTCTTTAGGACTTTTCTGCCCAGGTAGGCTTCAGCTGTGGGAGTAACTGGGATGGCAGGCATTGAGGGCCTGGTGGCTGACTCCAGGAAATGCTTGTTCTGTTGGCAATGGAACCCTTATAGGGTACCAGGGAAGAACAGGAGGCTGACGGAGCAGCACCGAGTTCACCGCAGGGCTTGTGACACACAGGGCAATGGTGGGTGTGCTCACAGAGCACCCAAAGACAGTGACAGAATCGGAGGTGTCTCCCAGACTCTTGTGTTTGTGTATGTGTGTGCGTGCGTGTATGCACAGTCCCCTGGTAGTTGGGATTCCAGGCGTGAGCCATTGGCACCTGGCTAGGAAAATTTTATTTTTGGTCAATCATGAGGCTTGAACCCAGAGTCTGGGCGCTGTCCCGGAGCTTTTTTGCTCAAATCTAGTGCTCTCTGATTTTGAACCACAGCTCTACTTCTGGTTTTCTGCTGGTTAATTGGAAATAAAGAGTCTCATGGCCTTTCCTGCCTGAGCTGGCTTTGAACCACGATCCTCAGATCTCAACCTCCTGAGTACGATTACAGGCATTAGCCACCTGGCACCAGGCTTAATGTTACTTTTTGTTTTTGTTGGGGGTCACAGGGCTCCAACGGGGGACCTGGGCACAGTAGCCGAGCTCTTTGGCTCAAGACTAGCTCTCTGCTACTCTGAGACACAGTGCCACTTGCACAATTTCTTTATTTTTACTGATTTCTTTTGCAGTGCTGAAGAGGAACCAAGGGCCCAAGCATGCCAGGAAGTGTCCAACTACTCAGCTACCCCCACCCACGTGCCAAGGAACTTTCTTTGGTATGTATGTATGTATGTTCCAGGCCGAGAGCTGGAACCTGGGTGTTGTCTCTGAGCTTTGTTTTCCCCCAGAAATTCCAGTGGTCTACCACAACGCCACTTCTAGCTTTTTTGTTGGCTAATGGGAAATTAATTATCCCATGGTTACTCCTATCCCTAGGCTGGCTGTGTTCCTCAGATCTTAGGCTTCTGAGTAGCTAGGATTACAGGAGTGAGCCACTAGCACTGAGCTCATCATTTATTTGAACGATTTTGTGTGCCTGTCCTAGGGCTTGAACTCAGATGGCTGGACACTGTCCATGGACACTGGACACTAGCCCGTGGCCGGCACTCTACAACTTGAGTCACTGCTACTTCCAGTTTTTTGGGTAGTTAGAGATAAGAGTCTCACATACTTTTCTTGGTTGGGATTTGAAACAATCCTAAACCCTCAATCAGAACAGATAAGATTAAGTGTGAGCTACTACCTCACAGCTCGAGGAATTAGTTTTTGTTTTGTTTTTTTTTTTATACCAATTGGTTGTGGGGCCTGAACTCAGGGCCTGCACTGTCCCTGAGCTTTCTGGCTACTGTTCTACCACTTGATCAGAGCTCCAGTCCAGCTTTTTGGTGGTTAACTAGAGATACGAGGGACTTTCTTGTCTAGGTTGGCTTTGCCCAGTGATCCTCAGACCTCAGCCTCCCGACTGGCTAGGATGAGCAGTGTGAGCCACCAGCGCCTGACCAAGGAATTTTTTTTTGCCAGTCCTGGAGTTTGAACTCAGGTCTGGGCACTGTCCCTGAGCTTCTTTTGCTCAAGGCTAGCTCTCTACCACTTGAGCCACAGCTTATGTGGGCCAGGGAATCGAACCCAGGGCTTCATGGATGGCAGGCAAATGCTCTACTACTAAGCCACAGTCCCAGCCCTCAAGGAATTTTATTTTTGTGGTTGTGGGACTTGAACTCTGGGCTTGGGCACTGTCCTTGCGCTCTTCACCTCAAGGTGAGCACTCTACCACTTGAGCCACACAGCACCACTTCCAGTTTTCTGGGGGTTTATTGGAGGTAAGAGTCTCATGGACCCTGCCCCGGCTCTTTGAACCATGATCCTCAGATCTCAGCCTCCTGAGTAGCTAGGATGACAGGCGGGAGCCACTGGCGCCTGGCTCAAGGAATTTTTTAAACAAGAAAACAGACTGCAGTGGATCGGGCGCGCGGCTGCCGCACAGGAGACGCACAGGAGAGATCCCCCGTCTGCTCCTGGCAGCCTAGAGAGAGAGCACCAGGCGTCACTGGACAACTAGTGGGTGGCGTCTCCCAGCTTCCTGGTGCCCCTTGGCCCCCAGAGCAGCAGTGACGTTACCTGGTGGGGGTTCCAGTCACTGTCGAAAATGATCACAGTATCAGCCGACTGCAGGTTGAGGCCCAGCCCGCCGGCGCGGGTGCTGAGCAGGAAGATGAAGTACTCGGAGCCGGGCTCGTTGAAGGTTTTCAGCAGCATGCCCCGGTCCTCGGCTTTCGTGGTGCCTGTGCACGGGGGACCAGGGGTTAGCGGGTGAGCTGCAACTGTGTCCCCATGTCACTCGCGCCACCCCCACCCGGTGAGCGACACCAGGCCCCAGGCCCATGGGCTCGGGCCGATGATGGACGTGCCCTGCCTGCAGTGGCGATGCCTGCTGAATGCCACCCCTGCCAGCCCCGGGCCTGCAGGCACCAGTCTGGACAGATCTACACCGAGAGTAACGACGTACTAGAGAAGGCACAGTGGCCATCTGGACCGCTGCTCAATGAGGTGGATTAGGAGTCTCACTGACCACGCTGGCCTGTGGGAGGAACCGCGTGTAGGGCCGGGCACTGCCCCTGCCCACGCAGCACACTGCTGCCCGACGGTGCGGGAGCTGGACTCTTCCTCAGTGTACCCTTCTTACTTGGGGATCACACTCAGCGTGCCCTGGAGCCCCAGGGCCTTGTGCAGGACCACAGGTCCTGTGTCCACGCACAGGTCCTGTGTCCTGGCCCGCACCGGTCCACCTGACGGGCTAGGCCCGGCCTGGAGGCCATGTTGGAGGTGCCGCACAGTGGGCGGGGTCTGCAGATGCCAGCAGGAGTCGTGGCAAGCAAAGACTTGAATCCCTGAACGTTCGGTCACACACTTGGGAGAAAGGGATGTGGGCCGGGCAGGGCAGCAGAAGGCTGAGGTGCTCTGCGCGAGACACTACAGGGGGCCTGAAGAAGGTGGGGAGAACCCCGAGGGCTGGGTCCCCAGCTCGGCCAAGGCTCCTCCTCAGTGTGCTCTGTTCAGTCCCTCGTCCTGATGCTCACGGGCGCCCCTGGCCGCCTGCAGCGGTGCCCAGGCCGCCTGCCCTGCTGCCTTTACTGGTGCCGCCAAACCCACTCCAGGATGCACGCGTGGCGCAGGAGTGCAGAGCTGCAGCCGGGCCCTCGGTGGGGTGGGGGTGGGGCGCAGGCACTGGGGATCACAGCCCACAAGATGCAAGAGGTGGAAGGCAAGATGGAGTACAGGGCACTGAGCAGGAGGAAAGCTCTGGCACCTGCCTGAACCCCATCCCCACGCACGCTCCTGGGGGGTCGGGCGGGCCGCAGCCAGCCTCTCGGGAACTCACCGTCCAGCCTGAGGTATTTGAAGCCGCGGTAAGCGAAGTAGTCTTCCATGATGGTCATGAGCGAGGTCATTTGGCAGAATAGCAGCACTTTGTGGTTGGTGGCCCGGAGTTTGGGAAGAATTCGGTCGAGCAGTTCGAATTTGCCCGAGGCTCGGTACAGGTCCAGGCTGGGGCAGGTGGGGAGAAGACAGTGGCAGTCACCCCACAGTCACCCCGCAGCCGCAGCAGCCCAAGTGGACATCACCAGGAGTGGCAAGGGTCACCCAACCCGCTCACGTGACGGTGACAGGAAGCGGGGCTGGGAACACCCCTGTCTACCACAGCATGTACAATTCAGTTTTCTTTTCTTTTTGCCAGTCCTGGGGTGTGAACTCAGAACCCAGGCGCTATCCCTGAGCTGCTTTTGCTCGAGGCGAGCGCTCTACCACTTGAGCCACAGCTCCACTTCTGGCCTTTTCTGTGTCTGTGGTACTGAGGAATCAAACCCAGGGCCTGCTAGGCCAGCACTCTACCACGGAGCCACCTCCCAGCCCAGCCCACAAACCACGGAGCCACACTCCCAGCCCAGCACACAATTTCTTTTTTTTTTTTTGTTGGTCGTGGGGCTTGAACTCTGGGCCTGGGCGCTGTCCCTCAGCTCTTCAGCTCGAGGCGAGCGCTCTAACACTTGAGCCACAGCCCACTTCCGGTTTTCTGAGTGGTTTATTGGAGATAAAGAGTATCATGGACTTTCCTGCCTGGGCTGGGTTTGAACTGTGATCCTCAGATCTCAGCCTCCTGAGTAGCTAGGATGACAGGCATGAGCCACTGGCGCCCGGCTCCAGCACACAATTTCTATGTGTGGAAATTGAGGTCAGGGACAGCACAGAGCAGCAGGTGTGTGGCATGCACTACTCAAAGTTTTCGGGGTTTTTTTTGCATTCAGGCCTAGGCACTATCCCTGAGGTTTTTTCTTTTTGGTCAGTCGTGGGGCTTGAACTCTGGGCCTGGGCGCTGTCCCTCAGCTCTTCAGCTCAAGGCGAGCGCTCTACCACCTAAACCACAGCATTACTTCCGGTTTTCTGGTGGCTCATTAGAGAGGAGTCTCATGGTCTTTCCTGCCCGGGCTGGCTTTGAGCCGTGATCCTCAGATCTCAGCCTCCTGAGTAGCTAGGATGACAGGCGTGAGCCTCCAGCACCTGGCTTCCCTGAGCTTTTATGCTCACTGTTCTACCAGAGGGAGCAACCGCTCCACTTCCAGATTTTTTTCATTGTGTGTGTGGGAGGGGGTAGTCAATTAGACATCAGAGTCTCACAGACCTCCTTCCCAGGCTGGCTTTGAAGCACGATCCTGAGAAAGTGGAATGACAGGTGTGAGGCAGCAGCACCTAGCCTCAGGTTGTGAACGACACACACGTACCAAGAGAACTCTGCAAGGCAGGGCAGTGGCCCCTGCAGGCAATCCCCGCTGCTGGAAGGTGGAGCAGGAGGGCTTTGGGTTGGACCAGCCTGAGTAGTCAGACTGCCCAATCACAAGGCAGGAGGGCGGGGCGCACACTGGAAACCTAAGCTCTGTGAGTAGGACACGAAGGGCGGTGGAGAGGGCAGCTCAGGATTCAAGTTCCCAGGACTCTGTCTCAGCCCGGGCCGCGCACGGCGGAGAGCGGGGAAGCAGAAGCAGGAGGAGGGCAGCCCGTGTCAGGAGCGAGGACAGGGCTGCGCTGGCTCCGTGGCGGAGCTCGCATGCCTCGCATGCATGGAACCCTGGGTTTGATTCCTCAGTACCACATACACAGAAAAGGCTGGAAGCAGTGCTGCGGCTCAAGTGTAGAGTGTTAGCCTTGAAAAACAAAAGCAGCTCAGGGACAAGGCCCAGGCCCTGAGTTCAAGCCCCAGGACTGGCCAAAAAAAAGTGAGAGGACCTTGGAAAATAAGCAACATACAAAGGGCTGGAGGCCTGGCTCAGGGGAAGGCACTGGCGTAGCAGGGGACACCCTCTGCCCCTTCACTGTGTGCCTCTATTACTGGCAGTAACTGAGCATGCTGCGGCGTGAACTGTAGAGGTCTGAGGCAAGATTCACTGTGGTTGACTATAGAGATGGAGTCCACAGCCAACCCAAGGCTTATAGAAGTACAGCCTGGACAGGGGCAGGTGAGGTACGCCGATAACCTCAACATTCAGGAGGCTGAGGCAGAAGTATTAGAGTTTGAGGCCATCTCTCCAAAGCAAGTGCAACATGTGCCTTACCAATTATGTGTGATAGAATGCACTGGCAGTGACTAAAGAGAATCAGTCCCTCCCTAGTGGGCAGGCCGTGTGGTCTACAGTTCACAGGGAAGCTGTCCAGAGCGAGTCCCTCTGCTATCTAACAGCAAGCGGCTCTCACCAGCTTGTTCTTTTCTCTGTGTGTGTGTTTTTGTCAATTGTGGGGCTTGAGCTCTGGGCCTGGGCACTGTCCCTCAGCTCTTCAGCTCAAGGTGAGCGCTCTAGCACTGAGCCACAGCACCACCTCCAATTTTCTAAGTGGTTTATTGGAGATAAGAGTCTCACACACTTTCCTTCAATGGGCTGGCTCTGAACTGTGATCCTCAGATCTCAGCCTCCTGAGTAGCTAGGATTGCAGGCGTGAGTCACCGGCGCCTGGCTATTGTCTATGGGCTTTTGTGTGTGTGCTGGTACTGTGGCTTAAACTCAGTGCCTAATTGCTGTCCCTCAGCTTTTTCATTCAACTGCCATTCTGGGCTGGGACTGTGGTCTAGTGGTAGAGCGCTTGCCTAGCATGCATGAAGCCCTGGGTTCAATTCCTCAGTACCACATAAACAGAAAAAGCTGGAAGTGGAGCTGTGGCTCAAGTGGTAGAGCGCTAACCTTGAGCAAAAGAGGCTCAGGGACAGCGCACAGGCCCTGAGTTCAAGCCCCAGGACCAGCAACAAAACAAAGAACACTCATTCTACCAGTTGAGTCATATGTCCACATTTCCGACTTTTTGCAGGTCAGCTGGAGGTAAGAGTCTCACAGATTTCTGTGCCTGGGCTGGCTTTGAACAGTGATCCTCAGGTTTCAGCCTCCTGAGCAGTGAGGTGCTGGAGCCTGGCTTGTGGTCTGTATGTCCCTCAGCATGGGGCCTTGGCTACCAGACAAACATTAGGAGCAACACACAGCCAAGTGCCAGAGACAGCAGAGTCCTCATGTGGGCCGGCCCTGCGCGGGGAGCTCCTTACCCTTGGACGATGCCGCCAGTGAACCCCAAGTGCTCAGAAAAGGACTCCTGCAAAGGAACAAGAAGGGGTTGAGCGCTGGCGCGACAGAGTCATGGTGTGTCATGGTGCCGAGGCCACACACCCATGGTGGACAGAGGCGACGAACGCCAGCAGCTGCCTCCCAGACACCAACACACGAGGCGCGGACACAGCGTGTGAGGCCGTCCCAAACGAGGTCTACTCCCCCAGGCAGGGCTCAAAGGGGTTGTAGCCCCGAGACTGTCTGCCAGGAATCACCTGTGCTTTCAGACGCAAGTGTGCAGACACCCAGAAGAGCGCGCGCAGGATGCAAGATGGAGGCTGTGTGCCAGACATCCTTCCCCCCCCCCCGCCCCAGGACTGGAACATGCCCGCAAGGAGTCGCCAATGCTCAGGAAACTCGGGGACACAAGGCTTCCGGGGCCACTGGCCAGGCCGGGCTCGCTCAGCAGGGAGCACGCGGGGGTCCCCTCCCAGCCCCGCCGCAGGGACGTGGGGAAGCTGCGCGCAGGCGCGGGCCCCGGGCCCACCTCGATGTGCTGGAACATGTAGGGGTGGTTGCAGATCTTGCGCAGCTGCATGATGGTGTTCATCAGCGTCTTCGTGCCGCCTTTGCCCTGCGGAGGACACAAGCGTCCCAATGGGGTCTGGCCTCCAGGGTGCCGGGGGGGGGGGGGGGGGGAGCAGCAGGGGCCTGCCCAGGTGAGTCGTGGTGGCACACAATGCCCACACTGGCTACTGGAGCGCCGGTGGGCCACTCCGAGCGGGGGAAAGCCAGGTGAGACGGGCTCCACGCAGCGCCTCTGGCTGTGTGCACGGGGAGGGCGTGGGGAAGGCAGAGGCCGGCCGGGCGCCAGGGCTCACGCCTGCCATCCTAGCGACTCGGGGCTGAGATCTGAGGGTCGTGGTTTGAAGCCAGCCTGAGCAGGAAAGGACTGGAAGATTCTATCTCCAAACTAATAGGCAAAAAACAGGGGTGGAACTGCGGCCCTAGCGAAAGAGAGCCATCTGAACTAGTGCCTCACCAGGGGCTGAGGTTAAAACAAGGGGGGCAGCAGAGGGTGCAGGCTATCGGGATACGCTCTGTTGTTGTTGTTGGTTGTGGGGCTTGAACTCTGGGTCTGGGCACTGTTCCTCAAGGCTACACTTGAGCCACAGCACCACTTCCGCTTTTTTGGCAGTTCACTGGAGATAAAGAGTCTCACAGACTTTCCTGCCCGAGCTGGCTTTGAACCACGATCCTCAGACCTCAGCCTCCTGAGTAGCTAGGATGACAGACGTGAGCCACTGGCGCCTGGCTTCAGGATACTTTTTTTTGGTTGGGTATGGGCTTTGAACTCAGGGCCGAGGCGCTGTCTCTGAACATCTTTGTGCTCAAGGCTAGTGTGCTCTTACCCTTTGAGCCACAGCACCACTTCCAGTTTTTCAATGGTTAACTGGAGCTAACAATCTCACAGGGATTTTTCTGCCTGGGCTGGTTTCGAACTGTAATCCTAAGATCTCAGCCTTCTGAGTATCTGGAATTACAGGTGCCCGGATCAGGATACCACTTACGCACAAATGGAAATACCACAGTGAAGCCTTCTTACACAACTGACATATGCTAATACAGAAAACGGGTGGCTCACGCCTATAATCCTCGCTACTCAGGAGGCTGAGACATGAAGGATTGAGACTGAAGCCGGCCCAGGCAGGAAAGACTGTGAGATTCCATCTCCAAACTAATCAGAAAAAGCTGGGATTGAAGTGTGGCCCAAGCAGTAGAGAGCCATCTGAACAAGTACCTCCCAAGGTCCTGAGTTTGTACTCTAGTACCAGCAAAAGAAAAACTTTTATTTTTTTGGTCAACTAGTTATGAGGCTTGAACTCTGGGCCTGGGCGCTGTCCCTCAGCTCTTCAGCTCAAGGTTAGCACTCTACCACTTGAGCCACAGCGCCACTTCTGGTTTACTAGTGCTTAATTGAAGAGAAGGATATCACGGACTTTCCTGCACAGGCTGGCTTTGAACTGAGATCCTCAGATCTGAGCCTCCTGAGCAGCTAGCAGCTAAGATGACAGACATGAGCCACCGGCGCCTAGCTAAAAAAATATATACTTTTATTTTTAAGAAGCAGATCCTAAGCCAGATGTGGCTACGTACTCAGGAGGCTAAAATCTGAGGATCGCTGTTCAAAGCCAGCCCTGGCAGAAATTTTTCCCCATGAGATTCTTTTTTGTTTTATTTGGTTGGTCGTGGGGGCTTGAACTCTGGGCCTGGGCGCTGTCCCTCAGCTCTTCAGCTCAAGGCTAGCACCCTACCAATTGAGCCACATTGCCACTTGCGGCTTTTTTCTGCTTATGTGGTGCTATGGAATCGAACCCAGGGCTCATGCATGCGAGGCAAGCGCTCTACCACTGAACCAACTTCCCACTTCCCCTATGAGGTTCTTTTCTCGAAGTAACCACTCAAAAACCAGAGGTAGCGCTGTGGCTCAAGTGGTAGAGCACTAGCCTTGAGCACAAAGAGGCTCAGGGAAGGGACAGAGCCCAGGCCCTGAGTTCAAGCCCCACAACCGACCAAAAAAACAAAAACAAAACCCCAAATCAGCTGGGTGCTGGCGGCTCACACCTGTCATCCTAGCTACTCAGGAGGCTGAGATCTCAGGATCGCAGTTCAAAGCCAGCCTTTGCAGGAAAGTCTGTGAGACCCACTAGGAAACTGGAAGTGGCGCTGTGGCTCAAGTGGTAGAGCGCTCGCCTTGAGCTGAAGAGCTGAGGGACAGCACCCAGGCCCAGGGTTCAGGCTCCATGATTGTCAAAAACAAACAAACACAAACAAGTTCACAAATTCAATGGACACTTAAGAAAGTGAACTGTATGGGCTGGGAAGGTGGCTCAGTGGTAGAGCGCTTGCCTTGCATGCATGAGACCCTGGGTTCGATTCCTCAGCACCACATAAGCAAAAAAAAAAAGCTGGAAGTGGCGCTGTGGCTCAAGTGGTAGAGCGCTAGCCTTGAGCTGAAGAGCTGAGGGACAGCGCCCAGGCCCAGAGTTCAGGCCCCACGACCGGACCCCCAAAAAAAGAAAGTGAACTGTATAACTCTTGAGTAAAAGCTGGGAGGGAGTTCTGGGAGTAAGGAAACAGACGCCACTGACATGGCATCCCTCCATACAACACCTCTACAATAATTTTTTTTTTCTCGGTCGTGGGGCCTGAACTCTGGGCCTGGGCGCTGTCCCTCAGCTCTTCAGCTCAAGGCGAGCGCTCTACCACTCGAGCCACAGCGCCACTTCCAGCTTTTTCTGCTTATGTGGTGCTTGCTGAGGAATCAAAGTAGGGCCTCCTACACTCAAGGCAAGCACTCTACCACTGAGCCACCTTCCCAGCCCCTATGATAATTCATTAAAAAAACAAAAACAGAAAAAACAAAAGAACAAGGCCACAGTAGCGGGCACCAGTGGCTCATGCCTGTAATCCTCTGTAGTCAGGAGGCTGAGGATGAGGATTGTGGCTTGAAGCCAATCTGGGCAGGAAAGTCTAGGAGACTGTAAAGCAGGGCCACGGTGCAGGGCGTCCCCCGTGCTGCTGAGGACGGCGGGGACCTCAGAGCACTGCCGGGAGGTGGCCGCAGTGACTGCACACTGCCACCAGGAGCCAGCGTCCCTTGGGCCGAGGGCGCAGAAGCAGCTCAGTGTCCCCAAACCAATCTGGGGCCACATCTGTCTATTCCAAGGCCCAGGGGGCACCCACCTCACGCCACCCCAACCGCCCTCCCAGGACACAGAACAGGGAGCGGGATTCCAGCACCCACCTTCTTGTCCTTCTCTGAGCCGTCGGTGAGCAGCACGCCCTTGGCCTGCATGTGGCGGTACAGCACGCGCTGCAGGGCAGACATGTCACACTTGATGACGTACTCCACCTGCAGGGCGAGGGTGGCTCAGGACGGGGCCGGGCTTGCGCCCACGGACCCGAGCCCTGCTGTTCAGAGCAGTGCTCTGACTAGGCGCGGGAGGGTGAGCCAGGGTAGAAAACACATCACTGCCCGGGAAATAGCAGGGCAAGCCTGGCCCGTAGGGCCCCGGGCGGCCAGGCCTCTGCCCTGCTCTCGCTCCAGCAAGCGGCCCTCCATGCACGTGCCCGGAGCTCCTCCGGACCCAAACCCACCTTTTCGGGCAACTGAGCCTCGACTTCCTTCTTGAGGCGCCGCAGCAGGAAGGGGCGCAGCACCTTGTGGAGGCGGCGGATGATGAGGATGGTCTCCTCCTCGTTCAGGTCCACCTGCAGCAACCACAAGCCACAAGCAGCGTCACCTTCCAGGGAGCGGCGGGGCGCAGGAAGCAAGCGGGCTGGGCACCCTTGCCGCACTGCGGGGCGCAGGAAGCAAGCGGGCTGGGCACCCTTGCCGCACTGCGGGGCGCAGAGGGCGGGGAAGGACCCCACGCCTTCCGTGGGATACCTGGGTGTCCGTTCACCTCCCCCAGGGAACCATGGCAGCCAGACGCACAGACTACTGGCCAAATGTGTGCTAACACGGCCTGAAGCCAGGCTAGACAGGCTGCCAGTCAGGGCTGCGACGGAAGTCTGCTGGAGAGCCCCAAAAGAGGTAACCCAACACCGGGACGCCCCACTACCTGTCTCGCCCACGTGGGACTGTGAGCCAAGAACCAGCTGTCAGCTACCGGGTTTGTCTTGGTCAGTCCCGGGCCTGGGCGCTGTCCCTGAGCTTTTCTACTTAAGGCTACCGCCGCTCTGCCACTTGAGCTTCTACTTTTAGAGCCTTTCCTGCCCAGGCTGGCTTTGAACCCCGATCCTCAGAGGTCAGCCGCCAGTGCCTGGTACAAACTTCCCCTTTGTGGCTGCTTGGTCCTGGCTGGCAGGGTGGGGGCGCCTCAGAAGGGGAAACCCCATCCTGAGGTGGTGGGGGTCTCCGCTTCTCTCTGGTAGAATGGCTGCTGGGGAGACGGCAGTGATGGCTGTGTCTGCCACGGGGCTCTGTGGACCCTGAACCCGCCCAGGGCCTCATGGCCCACGTGTCATATCCGGACACCACTGCGACCCAAGGACATGAGACCCCAATTGCTGGGGGACCCTGGGACAGCCGCTCTGCGCCCACCTTCTCCCCGGTCATGGCGAAGGGCGCGTTGAACCACTGCTCGAACGTGCTGCAGCTCTTGAAGATGGTGGGCAGCAGGAAGTTGAGCAGTGCCCACAGCTCGGGCAGCTTGTTCTGCAGCGGGGTGCCCGTGAGCAGCAGGCGGCGCGGGGCCACGTAGTGCGTGTTGAGGACCTGCGTGAGCTTGCAGTGGTGGTTCTTCATGCGGTGGCCCTCGTCCACGATCATGTACTTCCAGCGGATCTGCAGGCGCGTGGAGACGCGGACGGCGGCGTTACAAGGACCCTCGCTGTGCCGCCGGCCACACGGCCTCGCCCTTGCCCGCCACCCGTGGGCAGCAGCCTGCGCAGGGCGCTCGGGCACAGGCGGGGGAAGCACTCTGCTTCCAAGCCTGGCCTCCGCAACACTGCTGCCTGCCTCCATTTACGCTCATCTCAGCCACCACCACCAGCGGGGCTGGGCTCGCAGGGCTGAGCGCCAGGGCTGCGCACAGCATCAGGAGAGAGCTACGTTACAGGCCATGTAGGAGGCCCCAGCTCCATGACATGCTGGGTCCCAATGCTCTGCACATGCGCAGCACGGCTGCGTGGATGCCTCCCCACCCAGATGGGAACACGAGCGCAGGCTGGTGGGGAGCACAGGCTGCAAGACCTGTCATGTGTGTCGGGGGGGGGGGGGGGGGGGGGGGAGGGGGGAGGGCCCGGCAAGTCACAGGGAGGGGCCGGGTATGTCCGTCTGTGCAGAGGATAGCGTGGCGCCTACGTGGGGCCTCGCACAGACAGACAGACAGACGCAGGCGGAGGCGGGGCGCTACCTTGGCGAGGATGTGCTTGTCTTTGATGATGTACTCGTAGGTGGTCAGCAGCACGTTGAACTTCCCGCTGCGGAGCTGGGGGACGAAAGCCCGCCTTGCTGCCGGGGAGCCCTGGGAGGATTGGAAGCAGGTGACTTCAGAATCGAGGCTGGACAGCGGGGGGGGGGGGGGGGGGGGGGGGGAGAAGAAGGATTGGGGGGGGGGGGGGGGCGCACTGCCGATGGTGACAGGGGCCACACTTCCAGTGACTCTTTCCAGGTCCCCTCTTTAGACGCCCACTAGAATCCCAGTGCCAGTGTGGTGGGGGACAGTGCGGCTGAAAGCACCCAGCCACGCCGGGCCAGCCTCCTTCCCTGTCGGAACCCCACTCCAGCATCGGTGAGGGTCAGGGTGAGGTGAAGGGTCTGTGGCACCATCAGGTACCCCGGCTCCCTGCTGCTGGCGCCTGCTCTACCCCCCCCCCACCCGGACAAATGGCCCCCACGGGGGCTGTGCCGCAGGAAGAAGCCCCGGCACCGAGCCGGCGACACACTGCCCATGCTCACACACACAGCCGAGTCTAAGGAGAGCTCAGGGGACAAGGAGCAGTTCCCACTACCGAAGGAAATGCGGTACAAGCCACCCGGCATGGAGGCCTGGGGCGAGGCTCAAGCGGGGAGCACTTGCCTAACAGCTCAAAGTCCTGAGTCAAACCCATCACCGAGAGAGCAATTTAAAATAATAAATTAAGGGCTGGGAAGGCGTCTCAGTGGTAGAGCGCTTGCCTAGCATGCATGAGGCCCTGGGTTCCATTCCTCAGCGCCACAGAACCAGAAAAGGCCCGAAGTGGTGCTGTGGCTCAAGGGGTAGAGTGCCAGACTTGAGCAAAAGTAGCTTAGGCCCTGAGTTCAAGCCCAGGACTAGCAAAAATATAAATAAAGAAACTTCAAAACAACTACTTTCTACAACTGAAACCTATAGCTTTTCTCTCTCTTTTTATTGTCAGTTGTGGGGCTTGAACTCTGGGCCTGGGCGCTGTCCCTCAGCTCTTCAGCTCAAGGCCAGCGCAGCGCTCTACCACTTGAGCCACAGCGCCACTTCTGGTTTCTGGTGATTCACTGGAGAGTCTCACGGACTTTCCTGCCCAGACTGGCTTTGCACCGCGGTCCTCAGATCTCAGCCTCCTGAGGAGCTGGGATGACAGGTCTGAGCCATCGGCTCCGGGCTCTTTCTCTCTCTCTTTGTGCATGTCTTGAGGCTTGAACTCAGGGCCTAAAAGCACTGTCCTTGAGCTGCTTTTGCTCAAGGCTGACACTGCCACCTGAGCCACAGGTCACCTACGGCTTCTTGCTGATTCACTGGACATACAAATCTCACAGACTTTCTCACCTGGGCTGGCCTCAAACTGTGATCCTCACATCTCAGTCTCCCAAGTAACTAGGATTACAGGTGTGGGCCAACTGAAGCCAACTCAGATCTTCATTTTTTTTTTTGGTTGGTCCTGGGGCTTGACTCTACTCCTGGATGCTGTCCCTGAGCGTTTGTGTTCAAAGCTACTGCTCTACCATTTGAGCCACAGTTCCACTTCCAGTTTTCTGATGGTTCCATGGAGACCTGGGCTTTCCTGCCCACGCTGGCTTTGAGCCATGCTCCTCAGATCTCTGCCTCCTGAGCAGCTGGGATTAGTGGCAGGAGCTACCGGCAGCAAAAAGGAGTATTCGTGCTTCAACAAGACGAGGTGTGTGTACACCACGAACCCGTGTGTGGCCGCTGTCTCCCTCTGCTCCTGCTCTCTTCCCCCTCCGTCCCGTGTCGCCCACCAGGCCGCCCTGCGCCATGACCTACCTTGTAGGACACCTTCACCACGGAGGGGGCCCACTTGTCAAATTCATACGCCCAGTTTGACAGCGTCCTAATGGGACAAGAGAGGCACAGTAAATTTCCCTTTGCGTAGTGACGCCGCACAGTGGACACGGCCATTCGTGTCCAGCAGCAGAGCAGAGCTGAGGGCCAGGAGCGGCAGGTGACAAGACTTTGGTGGGACCGGCAGGAGACGCTCTCGTGGCTGTGTGCTGGCCTGCTCGCCATAGTGGTAGGACTGGGTCATGGGCACTGGGAATGGCTGGGACCACAAACACTCCTGTGCTCCCCTCAAAATGAAGGTGGCGCCATGGATGCCCGCGGACCAGGGAAGGACAGGACAGACAGTATGCAGGCAAAACTGGGCGCGCTCAGGAGGAGGCTGGAACCGCAGGGACAAGGAAAGAGACAGGACGCCAGGCTGGCGCTCTGGTGCGGGGACAGGCAGTGAAGGCGTAGGGCAGGAAGACCAGGCCCCCCGCCTGTGATGAGGAGAGCTCAGAGTGACAACACGTGCGCAGGCCCTGCACAGGACAGGCTGGAAACATGGCTCTGTGGTAGAGTGCCTGCCTGGCAAGTGTGAGGCCTTGAGTTCAAATCCCCATACCTCCATAAAAGAGGCGATCACTTTAAGATCACATGGGAATGCATCTTCGAATTTACGGCTGGAGCTGTGGCTCGACGCAGTAAGCTAGCCCTGAGCTATCAGGGACAGCACCCAGCCCCGAGTTCAAGCACCATGACCAAAAAAGGAATTTAAAAAACCAGTACAAAGGGCTGGACTCAGGGGGACAAAACTATCGTCAAGAGGCTTCGGCTGGTGCTGGGCAGGTGGAGGCGATGCCAGCGGCCGATGCAAGGAGGTACGGAGCCCACGGGAAACAAGTGGACACAGTCCTAGCCACCAACACGGAGGCGGGCTTCCTGCGTGGGGCCAGATATCACCGCTGCCCATTCTGTGGTCATGACAAGAACGGGAGGGGAGGAGTGGGCAGTGTGGTATTCTTGCCGCCAAGGGGAGGCTCGCGTGGCAGGGAGCAGGGCCAGCACTGGGAGCGTGGGGGACCGAGAGCCTCCCCTGCTTGTCACTAGGTCCCCCCTCCACTGCAGGAACAACACGGCACCGAAGGTCTGAGAGAGAAACAAGTCAGGGTGACGCGTGGCAGTGGGTCAGGAGGTGAGCTGAGGCTGGGCAAGTGGGCAGGCGCGGCTGTGCTCAGCCTCACGGGGGGGAGGGGTGTGTGCCCACGGCTTTGGGGGTGCGGTTGGTACTGCACAGGAGGATCACCCTCCAGAGAGCGCTGCCCAGTGCTCTGTGGTTACTGGGACAGGCACCTGCGGACACCAGTGGCAAGACACGGGGGCCAGGCTGAGCCCGGGGCCAGGCTGCGTGGAGAAGGCTGCGCATGCGTGCTGCGCATGGCTCCACCACCTTGGGGGCGCACAGCTCTGCGTGCAGTGCTGTGTGTGTGCGCATGCGTGCGTGCGCTCACGCCGGTGCTTAGACTGTCTGCTCCAAGCACCGAGAAGCCATGACACCTCAGAGGTCCAACGGGCACCCAGACTGGCAAAGCTGGCACACGCAGAGAAAGAGACCAATGGCGGCTGACAGGCTGATGTAGCCTCAAAGGCACAGCCTCCACCACCTGGCCCTGCATGCCCCGTGTGTCCTGTGCATCTGCCCCGTGTGCC